ATCTATTAAGATATTGACAAGATAATTTCAGTTAATGTCTTTTAATTATCGAAAATTTGTTAATATCTTAAAATAATTTCAATTAATATATCATTAAATTGTTGAAAATCTAATAATTGCAAATCTTTCTGATGCATCTCAGATCGTTTTTGTTTCAGTTTTCCTAACGTAACTAGTCTGTGTCGTTCTCAGCATCCTTCTGTTGAACGACATTTCTGCTTCCTCAAGCCTCTTTTTCATCTTTAATATGATTGTACAGACGTATAGAAGGACCGATATTACATAGTTCGATATTGTTTTCTTTGTTTCCAATGAAATTTTCCTTTTTCTTAATACATTGTTTAACTTTTGGAAGCCATCTTTCGCTTTCCCAATTCGCCTTCGGATTGCGCTGTCGCATTTGCCAAATTCCGATCAAATATATTTTCTAGCTATTTAGATTTTTGTACGCATTTAATTTACATTTCTCCGATTTTTTCTTTACTATTTCCTTTATTACAATTCTCTGGGAGTTCCTGCATTTGCGGTTGAACAATCAGCCTCTTAAAAAGCACGATTGGGTCCTTTAAAGCAAGTTTAATTGATAGTTTGTATCTGTCTTGCTAAGTAGAATCTTTTAATACCTTAATGAAGTATGTGTCAGCATGTATCTAGAACATTTAGAATATATATATATATATATTTGACCCTATAATGTATATATATATATATATAAGTATATATATATATATATATAAAAACATATATATATATATATATATATATCGCAATTTGAGTCAAAGACTATTGATTTCAATGTTACTTTATATTTATATATATATATATATATATATATACTTTATATATATACACACTTAAAACTATACTGTATATATATATATATATATATATATATATATATATATATATATATATATATATATATATATATATATATATATATATATATATATATATATATATATATATATAAATATATATATATATATATATATATAAAGTGAATAGAAACAAGATTTACCGACCTAGAAATTTTCATAGAAAAGATGTGCCCTCCGACAGGAAACAAAACTCTATCCTACACAGCACCGTCATATAGCCTGACATGCTACACTATTTTGCAATTTTTAGTTTAAAACAATAGTTTGGCATTGCTCAACAGACGCTTTCTCTGTAGCTAAATGGATACAGGTTCGATTCCTACCGGAGGATACATATTTTCTGTGAGATTTCTCGGACGTTCAGCCCGGTAAATATTGTTAATACTGTTTATTATAAACAGGATATAAACTTAAATATTTGTATGTATAAAAAACAACGTATAAAACAGAAATATATTAATATATATATATATATATATATGGACAGTCAATAAATCTTGGCCTAAGAAAGAGAGCTTCCATATTGGCACCAGCGCTTCTTATACACCATTTTGCGCCGATTATTATCAAGTGCGTACGAGTTGACATATTGAAGGTGTCTGATCGAAGCTTCTTCTATTATTAAAATTCAACGCTAATCGTTCGTTGTGCTCACACCTTCAGTTCACTCGTTGCTAGGTTAATGCGAACCGAATGGAAAAGCAGTGAATGTTTTGGTACAAAGAACTTTACAAGCCATATAAAACTCCGTTGAACTTTAAATACCTAGGTAAGTAGATAATTGAATGCGAGAATGAAGGAACAAAAATACTGTGACGCGCTTCGTCATTTCAACGGACTTCATCAGACTAAAATATTGTCCCCATTGGTGCATTTATTATATAAGCACGTCACGACAAATCAGACACCAGATAGTTAATATTTAAAGTTTACAGCCGTGCAACTTTAGCGTTTGTAATAAACGTATTTCTTTATGTCATCCCCAGAAAAATATATAATATATGTATGTATGTCTGTGTGCGTCCGTGAGAGAGAGAGATATATATAAAATATAGTTTTAATGTATGCTTAAAGGTATTCTCACTATCAGGGATAAAGTGGCCATTAAACTCAATATGCTTATATATGCTTCATGCTTATACAGAATGGTGATCGTCTGTTGATTGCGTATAAACATGAAATAGGGTGTTGACTTCAATTTCCCCTTATATATATATATATATATATATATGAAAAATATATAGAAAATAGGAAAGAACTCGTTAGGTAAATAATCCAAAGTTCTTTAGTATTTTTGTTAAAAAATAGTGCTCGATACAAAAGTAGAGCATAAATATAATTATTTATTTAAAAATATAATTCCAAGACGCTACATAAGAGTTCTAGAACACTTATGTAGCGTGTTGGAATCATACTTTTAAATAAATAATTATATAATATATATAATTATATATATATATATATAGGCTCCTGAAAAATTAATTTCAGTTGAGATCTCTGGGGAAGAGGTGTGGGTTTGTAGACAGTGAGTATATAGCTAAAAGCGAATTGAGTCACTGTGTGTGTTTATCTAAAAATAAATACGCTAATATTCACCTTCATTCCGTCGGCTTAGTGGTAGAATCTCCGACTGACACCGGTTCAGTCCTAGCTAGAGGCAACCGAATTTCTGTGTGTGTTTATCTAAAAATAAATACGCTAAAATTCACCGACGGCTTAGTGGTAGAATATCCGGCTGACACCAATTCAGTCGGATGTCCAGCCACACTGAAACAGTCTATGGATGACTTTATATATATATATAATTCAGTTAACAATAATCTAGTCTTATGAAGTCCTTTTAAAGAAACACGTTACAGCTATCCCTACCATATATATGTGTGTCTGTGAGTCTATGTGTGTATCCGCATGTACATGAGTTTAAAATTTAAAACAATATTGATTTTTTATTATAACTGCAAGATAGTTAAACAAGTACTATCAATTTACTTGAGAGATGTAAAATAACCATTAGGCAAAATAATTTATCACATAAACTATGATGTCTTATTTTGTCAAGTTTCTAATAATAATGTCTCTTTATTCAATGTGGACAGAAGCGTCTAATGCTTACAAATGTGTGAATCGACATTTTTCATAGATAGATAGATATGAATAGAATTAGATAGATAGATATGAATAGAATGAGATAGATAGATAGATATGAATAGAATGAGATAGATAGATAGATAGATAGATAGATAGATAGATAGATAGATCGATAGAATGTAAAATGATAAATAACACCAACGAATAATAAGGGAGGTTTTATAAACAAATTTAGCATAAAAAAATACATTTCAAGCACCCCTGCAAATATAACGAACCCAACTAGAATTTGAATATGTCTCTCTGATTAACAATTCATTGCCATGTGTTACACCACCCGCACATCCATGCTTACAGCGCGTCGTATTCTGAAGTGATGACCTATCTAGTTACAGCCGAGCTAAATGTTGTTTAACATCAGTAAACTTACGGAAGCTGGTGTTTCAAATTGATGTGGCTGTATGCCTTGCATAATTTTTGTTAGCGATCATAGAAGTATATATATATATATATATATATGTGTGTGTGTGTGTGTGTGTGTGTGTGTGTGTGTGTGTATGTGTGCGAGTGTGTGTCTGTGTGTATGCGTATGCGTATGTATTTATGTGTGTGAGTGTGTAAATTGAGATCATATATGAATCAATTACCGATTAGAATACGACAAAATGATAGGGTAATGAACAAATAGGAAACGTTTTTTTTATATTTACTAAGCTTTTTAAATTTCCTACTCAACAGGTTCAATTTACTTTCTAATAACTAAAATCTAGTATCTAGCTTTATAGCATATTTCATTCGGATGTAGAATCGAAAGAGTAGAAGACGTGGTTCGTTAACATCCGATCAACTCTAATATTATAATTACAGTCCTTATAATACGCTCATACCAGTTAAACAACAGGCACCGTGAACTCGTGTTTCATTGGTAATTAGCGGACACCATAAATTGATGATTGAAAACTTTTCCACCAGTACAGAAATCATTCATTCATGATCGAATCGAAAAGACTAATATGCAATTGTAGGATTCATGACGTTAGTATTTACAAGGATTCATGAGGTTATGGCATTCCTAGGGCATTTGTCTGCAAATAAAACTGCTAGAAGAAAGAGAAAATTATGTCTGCTTACATATATCTTGAAGAGAAAAATGGCGGAAAATGATGACAATTTGGCGCTAAATATGTACAAATTGTGCACGGAAAAAATTAATAAATAAATTTAGGATCCTAATTTTTTTATTCCGTTTTTCTTTCTTTTAAAATCTAAAGAAGTTAAAATAACATTTACAAATTTTTGCATATAAAGTCTCACCTTTAAAATGGAATTTCTATATTTTTTAGCCATTTGGTGTTCACGTTCGTGTGTCCTTTTCCTGTCATTTAAGACTTATAAAGCTGGATGGTCGAAAATATCTTAATGTTCCTTGGATATGAATATCACTTTTGTAAGAGTGTTGGTTTAGTGTTTAAAGCAATGGCGATAATAACCGTTTATTAATAATGAACAATTTGACAAAAGAGTAACTGTCTTTTTGAATTTATCAAATAGTTTTTCAACAAAATATGCTTCTAATGTCTAATGTTGTCGAGGCACGGTGGAGTAATGGATTGCAGCTAGGCTTGAGAAATCGGAGATTCGAATTCCAATCGGGTTCATTAGATTCACTAACGGGCTAATACACTGAGTATGAATCCAACTTTTCTTCCTACCCCCTATGGCTAAATAGTAGGGTAGATTTGGTTCTACAGTAACCAGTTCAGAGATGAAAAAAGTCACCCATCTCCCAGAAGGCCTGGGTCACCTGTGATATACATTGGTCCAAGAAAATACACACTGATTGAAATTCAAGTTGCGCAATCTGCCGAAGGTGGAGAAAGTGATTACTCTTTTTATTTTTCTAACGTCCGCTAACTGTTATCGCTCTTTCAAGTATTGACGGAGTTTTCCTTCCTAGTATTTTGTTTCAGGTAATCAATATATGATTATTTGCGATCTATTTCAGTTGTTGTTGGCTTACGGCCGCCTCATATTGAAACCCCAGTTCCCGTACGATCAATTAAGTTAAGCAACGTCGAGTCTTATCAGTACTTAGATGGGTGTTAGCCTGGGAATTCCAAGTGTTGTAAGATTAGATGTGTTTGTGGTATACTGGATAATGGCTTCGCATTATTAATTGGAGAGCCGAGTTCCGATTTCCGTTCGACGCGAAATATTAGGTTAAACGCAAATACACAAGTATGAATATAGGTCTTCTGCTGTATCTATGGTTTAATTAGTAAGAATCCCCAAATTATTATTATTCTCCAGTCTACAAAAAAAAACTCAATATTTTATGGATTTTAATAACTTGCAAAAAAAAAAAGACTAGAAATTTAATTAATATTTGTAGTAGCTGATCCTAAAAATGTTGGTGTGGTTCAGCTTATTTTTTTTATATATATATATATATATATATATATATATATATATATATATATATATATATATATTTAAAAATGCAGCGCCATTCTATATGATCTGGTAAAGGTTCTACTATTTTTCTGTCCTTTGTAGCGATTTTATCCTTTTGCCCTCTCTCCCAAACCATTCTCCGTCAACCAATCGCTCATCTCGTGGCTTTCCCTAGACCCTCTTTCATTCGCTCTGTCCTGTGATTATCACATTTTCCAAACCCTCTTCCGTCATTATGCGGTCGAGAAATGTCAACTCTCTCTTCTTGATGTTAAATATAAGTGTCCTTTTTGTTGATTTTGTCTATAGAACTTCGTCGTTGCTCACATAATATTCTCAACATCCTTTTGTAGAACTACATTTCTGTTGCTTCAAGCCTCTTCTTCATCTGTGAGGAGATTGTCCAACATTCACTTCATAATGGACGAATGGTACTACATAACAGTTCAGTACTATTTTCTTTGTTTCTAACGATATTTTTTTTTCTGTTTCTTAATACTTTGCTTAGCTTCCTACTTTTAGAGGCTTCCCGGTTATCTAAAATGTTGCACCTTTTTCAATTCAGCATATGTACAAATTTGCATGTTGGTCTGTCTTCTTTGCTCATAACCATGGATTCAGTTTTCTTGCAATTGACGTTTAGTTTTTTCTTCTCGCTTTCCTACACTTCATTCTGTAGGAGTTCTTTCTCTTCTATCAACTCTGTATCATCGGCAGTTGTTAAGATTGTAACCGGCAATAATAGATACTGACAGGACTTTTAATTCTCTCAGTATTGCCTCCCTGTATAGGTTGAAAAGCTATGGTGGGAAAACGCATCCTTGTCTTAGACCACTTTTTATTTTTGTGTATGCCGGCTGTTTGGTGCTAGTATACTTTTTCATTAAGACCTACAGATCTCGTTCACGTGAAGCCATTTTTAATCATTGATCTGAGATAACGGATGTGAAGAGCCGATAGTTTCGACATTTGTGAACAGCATTGACGCTATGATATCCTGTGATCTTTACGGTTTTCTTTATATGTACGTTTTTTTTGTTTAGCTAAACTTACATCGGTATATCACCTGTACTTTTTCGACACCTGATTCCCAACGCGAAGTTAATCATGGGATTTGATACGAGAGTTGTCTTCATTCAATCAAGTAATGGCCTTGAGTATTAAAGATATGACATTCTTTTGATCTTGCTATCAATGAACGTATTTGAATGTTGTTGAATACATTCAAGTTGGCACCGACTTAAGAAGAGTTAGCAAAACATTGATCAAAAGTATTTTAATGAATTTTATATATATATACATGTATATAATGTGTGTGTGTGTGTGTGTGTGTGTGTGTGTGTGTGTGTGTGTGTGTGTGTGTGTGTGTGCAAATATATAGAAAAATAGAAAAGAACCGTTAGGTTAAGAATCTAAAGTTCTTTAGTATTCTTGTTTTTATTTTTAGAAAGCAGTGTTCAATACATAAGTAGACCCTAAATTATAGTCATTTTTTAAAATATGATTCCATCGCTACATAAGAGCTCTCATGTTTCAAAAACAGAAGTTAAAAAACAGCTCTGTTTCATCCTCATGCGAATTTTGGAATAACTAATAACTAATCTTGAAATTTACGGAACCTTATAAGCATATACATTCGAATGTATATGCTTATAAAGCTCCGTAAATTTCAAGATTCGTTATTCCAAAATTACAGACCTGATTTTTAGCTTCTGTCCTTGAAACATGAGAACTCTTATGTAGCGATGGAATCATATTTTTTAAATATAATATATATATATATATATATATATATATATATATATATATATATGTGTGTGTGTGTGTGTGTGTGTGTGTGTTAAAATGATCAACATATTTAACTGGAATTGGACCGACACATAAAAACGCTGTTCAATAGATAATGTTTTGACCTTTATTCAAACCGTCATCAGAATATTCAATAGTTTTCGACAATGGTGTTCATAGCAAATGAAATATTGTATGAGTATTAACTAACTACAATCAATTAATCAACGTTTTTACACATACTAATCGTTTTCAAACAAAAAAGAAATTTATTGAATGGTTTTCAGTTGATGTAACAAAAAGGATAAGACAAAGAAGCATTAGAAAACGTTTATAAATCTAACATACTTCACTTTTATTAAAGCTTCATCTGAGAATAAGATATGGAGAAAAAGAATGTTTTTTTTAATAATAACAATAAAAAACAGATATATACAAAGATGCACAAATACATCTGCATATATAAATGATAAGATGAGTAATTATAAATTTAACATGTTTCCTTTTATTTAAGCTTCATCAGAAATTTGGTCAGAAAGAAATAAAAAATAATTTGAAATATAGAAGAGAGAGTTCTGGTGTATTATATTTTTTGTGTTTTTTGTCGTTGGTTAAGAAAGACGTCACGTGTACATGTCATGATCCTGGTAATATTTTCCAAATGTGTTTGACGATGGTTGCCGTTGTTCTAAAGCGGACCAATGTTGTTTTGCTGACACATTCGTTTCCACTGATTTCTTGGGATATGTGCTGCACTTACACCGTTTTATCTCTTGCTGTAGTTCAAGATGGATATGTATTCCTTTAATAGGAAAATTCTATTAACTAGCCGTCAGTATAGGATAGAAATAGGGAATGGGTGGAAAGGAAACATTCATTTATCTTTTCCTTTTCTCCTTCTTGCTAGTTCATTCCAAGCAGTTTCAGGCACGCGTGTTCGATATGAGGCAAAAAATTTTCACTGACATGTTTGAAATAAAGACAGCTTTTAAAATGAAGAAACCTCGCATTCTACTGATTGATAATTCATTATTTCCAACAATTTACGTACGAATAAAAAAAATGTCACACAATCGCGCTAGATAGCTACTTTGATAAACGAAAACGTTTTCTACAAATCGTTTGTATGTTTGTGAAAGTTCTGATTTGAGACTTGCATCCTTATCCCAGTAAAATATTTACATGCAAATATCTATCAAATCCTGTTTCATGTTTGATATTTTTTCTATCAGCGCTATTTTCCATCTTCTGAGGATGAGATGTTGTATGAGTATTAACTAACATATTCTTTTTCACTGCTTTCTTGGGATATATACTGCACTTACACTGTTTTAGCTCTTACTGTAATTCAAACAGGATACAGACTCTTTTAATAGGTAAATTCTATCTTTATCCACTGATAAGTCTATTCTTTATCCCCTGTGTCATGTGTCCTCAAGGATTCATGGCACAGGCGTTAGTTAGATCCAGTGACAGGACGAAAAGAGTGTGAGTTCCATACCTGATTAAGGCGGTGGAGAACTTGGAGAGGGGAATTAACAGGACATAACTGATAAATGACATCCATTACACATGACACGTGGAACTAGAATAGTCTTCCCCAGCGAGTGAAATAAAGGTTTCAGTTCGACATTCCAACCACCTGAAGAAGGCCGGAGCGTACAACGGCCGAAACACTGCAATAAATGTGGCGACAAAGATGAGGACAGTAGTCCTAATAATGTAAACAGTGTGCTAAGAATTTTCACACGTTAGTGTATCTATTGAAATTCAGTGTTTCGGATAATATATATATATATATATATATATATATATAGGTTTTTTTAGACAAGTTCACCCCAAGCATGGCAATAAAGCCACTAATACACGTGGAGTTACTGAATGTGAAAACGTTAGAAAACAGAAACATTATTAATAAGAGAGAGAACTAAATAAGAGCAACCAGGAAGACATGGATAACGATAGACATTTACTATTTTGATGATCAAATTTGGCGGGAAAGCACGAAGCGGGGAAGTGTTTCACAAGCGAGAAGTGCGGGAAAAGAAACGGTTATCATAGAATTTTTATGTTTATATTTTAACAAATTCACCTGTAAATAAATTGTTGCTAATCTAGTACTGAGCTTAAATTCATAAAGTTTATGTACCATAGCTAAGAGCTCATCCGACCGATTACCATGAAAGTATTTCTTGAAAAGCCACAGGGAAGTAACTTTAAGGCGGCGGAAAAGTGACTGAAGCCGAGATTCCAGAACAGAACCAATAATATTGCTGATTCTTCTTTGTGTTATTTCCAGCAAATCGTGGAGTCCGTTTTTCAAATTTGTTTTCTGTTTATATCTTTAAATATAAATTAACCCTTTCTTTTTCAATGTGTAACTATATATAGGTCCCGAGTAAATCCTTTCTATTAAACCTATTTTCCATTGCTTCGAACACATAATTTTGATCAGAAGATAACTGAAGATTGGATCATTTGAAAAGTGTCCGATTTGGAAAAACAAAATTAGATGATGTAAGTGATATTTAAGGCATCATTCTTTTTCTTTTTTCTTTTTTTTCGTTAATGCCTTTCAAAATGAATCTTTGATGAAACGCTTTTAGTTAAGATGAGAACGAGGAAAGAACAGGTTTTCTTAGGAGGCGGATAGTAATCGATAAAATAAAATCAATAAATGATTCATCGCAAAGATATCTGCGAAAATGAATAGGCCCTAAGTAATCTCAATTTTCTATGTACCAAATGGTTTTACACATCCTACGGTCGGGAAAAACACAACCAAATTTAATCCCACGCCGATATACAAACACATTATATGCACTCGTATCTGAGTAGGCGACCCGTTTAGTTAGTAAACAGTATATTTATTTATTTTCAGCTTGGA